CAAAAAAAACCCTGGTAGTCATGTTTGATACTGTCTTTCCTCTCTCACATTCTGTCAGTTACTACCATCATTTGTGGTTATGTGAGTATATTTCTATTTTCCCTGTTATATTTTAAGTTCCTAAGGGGCACAGAGCTTGTCCCTCTCCCTCGGACCTGTCACATAGTAAGATTATAAACAGATGATCTAAAAATGGTTACTGGGCCTTCTGTTTGATGCTGCGGACTTGTCTACATCTTGCAACTATCACCTGGCTGAGAAATTTCCTCTATAAATTTAGCAGTTTCTGTTTCAGGTATAGTTTGCCATGATATTTATACCACTTCTCTTACTCCACCCGAAGCCTCAAACTCAAAAGCTTCAATTAGAGGGGATATTCAAATCCTTAGCCACGCCGCAAGCAGCCCCCATAAGAACCAACAAAGCAAGGTGAAGTTCTTTTTTCTCCTGGAATTCTAGCTGCTGTCGCTACATTGCTGGGGAATCCTTGGCGAGATTTTGCTTGTCCTTCCACGCTGTTCTTTCTGTAGCTCCCTTGTTTCTTTTTGCGATCATGTTCCAGATGGCCCGGCAGTGTTTCCAAAATGAATATTTTGACAGTTTGCTGCATGCTTGCAAACCTTGTCACCTCCGATGTTCTGATACTCCTCCTCTAATTTGTCAGCGTTATTGTAATGCAAGTAAGTAATACCGCTTGAACGATTTTTCATTGGTGTGAAGTAGGCTCTCTATATTGACTGTTTATTCAGAAAATAAACCTTACGGGAAGGATGGTGAGATGTTCTGAATCGAAAAGAGAAAAGAAACAAGGCAATGATTAAAATGTCTACAGGAACAAAGTAATTATTCCAAACCGAACCCAGTTTTTCTCAGCACTATTAGCAACATAGATTTTTGTCAGTGCTTCTAATTAAGTGGTATTTAGAATTTAAAAGTCTATGCTGATGAATTAGGGGGATTGCATGGCAAAGAATCCATACTTGATGTGAATATTATGCTATCAGCTCATTATCTCTCTGACGTTCTTTTAATAAAGATGTGACCAATTCAGTGAAAGGAACAAATGCGATTCTCTGGACCTGTTTGGGCCTGAGCTTGACAGTTTCTTTGGCAATTTTCGTGCTAATGTTCTTACTAAGGAAGATGAGCTCTGAACTCTCAAAGGATGAATTTAAAAACACAGGTTGGTCTGACAGTGAGTCTTTGAAATCTGTGTCCAAGAGGTGGCTATTGTGAGTTTCAGTTCCTTGTCTTTTTCTAACGTCTATTTCATTCGGTTACAGACCTTTGGAATATGTTAGAGGATTGTTATGTTAAATGAACTTCACGGTAGACATCTTCATCCTGGTGTTAATACCTTTGCAGGTTTCCTCCAATGCCAGTCTTCCCCTAAATTCTTCCCTTGGTAATTACTGTACTGAAGAGCTGAGGCTTCCTTGGGAAACATCTGTCTCTTTGACTATAAAGTGAGCACATTGATTAAATGTCATGCTACCAGAAACTGCTAGCCAAGTCCACTGCTATCAGGAAGGGCATATTTGGCAAGATCTATGGCCATGTTTTTAATAGAAATATAAATGTTGTTTACTTGGGTGAACCTTTGCCTATTTAAAAATGTTAGAAATGAGTAACTAATTGCTCCTGGATGAATGAGCAATCATCTCAAAAATAATTATCTTTATTAAGCAATAGAGAACCAGTCCCAGAGAAGTGAATGCTCTACTTAAGGGTCTCTTAAGATAAAAATATTTCCTGTAGCACCTCTGCCCATGATCTGATTCTCAAATGCATAGCAGCAGTTGCCCTATTTCTTTATGCATTGATTTTCCACGCATAACCTGTAAAGCAGCCACCTCATTTGCTTTCTAGTGCAGGAGGAGACGGAGATGACTATTCACATAATTTACGCATTTTTTTCCCTTCCTCCTGGGGTCTGATAGACAGGTGGAGAGTGAATATTATTTTACATAAAATAAAAATTGCATATATTTAAGGCGTACAATATGTTTTGATATATATATATACATAGTGAATGATTACTACAGCCAAGCAAATTAACATATCTATCTCCACATAGTCACCCCCTTTTTTTGGTTGTGGTGAGAGCACCTGAAATCTACTTTTAACAAATTGACGGGGGCCAGGCATGGTGGCTCACGCCTGTAATCCTAGCACTCTGGGAGGCCGAAGTGGGAGGATTGCTCGAGGTCAGGGGTTCGAAACCAGCCTGAGCAAGAGCGAGACCCCATCTCTACCAGAAATAGAAAAAACTAGCCGAGTGTGGTGGTGCGTACCTGTAGTCCCAGCTACTCGGAGGCTGAGGCAGGGTGATCACTGGAGCCCAGGAGTTTGAGGTTGCTATGAGTTAGGCTGACGCCACAGCACTCTAGTCAGGGTAACGGAGTGAGACTATCTCAAAAACAAAAGAAAAAAACAAACTGACAGTATCCCATACAGTATTGTTAACTATAGTCATCGCGCTACATGAGATCTCTAGATTTATTTATCCTACATAACCGCAACCTTGTGTCCTTTGACCAACATCTGCCCATTTCCCCCACATTCCTACCCAGGAAACCATCATTCTACTCTCTGCCTCTATGTATTTAACTTTTTTAGATTCCACATATAAGTGAGATCATACAGTATTTTTCTTTCTGTGTCTGGCTTATTTTGAGAGTGAATTTAAGTGTGACGTTTTGGAAGATGGAGTTATATTGGGGAATGTTAGGAAGCTGTAAAACTTAACTGCACACGTATATAATGGAGACATAATGGAGACTCACTCCTTCCTTATGTGATCACAAAAGATTCTTTTACAATTTTTTTAATGTGTTATAAAAT